TTTTTGAAGAGAACAAAATCACCACTGTGCTTAGATATTCAGATGATATCATTAAAAAACAACAAATCAAACCCACAAAACCCCCAGTGGTTGATGACAAACAGCACAACACCAGCCTCCTGGAAGCCTCAGCCAAAGACTCTGCCATGGAGCCAGCTGCGTAAAGACCGACTCTTCTACACAGAAAGTCAAGCCCACGGTTTGCAGACTTTAGCAGCAGCCACAATGAGGAGTAACCACAAATTAACACTGTTATGCCTAGTAACTAGTCAGCAGACATTAACAGTACTGCTCAGATATTACAGTACAGAAGAGTACTCATATTGCTAAAACAGAAAGGAAAAATATCAAATGAATAATCAGGCTGATCTGGAAGATAATAAAATTATTACTTTCTATGCTTTCTACACTGGAAACCAGAAAAATCTTCTGGGAATAAAGTATCTTAACATTTTATAACCTCTCTGTCTAATGTAAGCCGCTATTTTAAGCGTATTAAAGGCAGTTTATGTGAAAGCTTTTTTTTTTAATCTTGTCTGACCTGAAATGGAAAGGCTCCAAACTCCATTACCCTAGGAGGCTTAGTATAAACCTAGATCCTGTCTAAATTGCCCTATATAACTTTGCATCAGGGCTTTTTTTTGTTTTGTTTTGATTTTTGTTTTGTTTTTATAACACTATTGTGGACCCATGTTGTAGGTATAACAAAAAGTCAAGCAGCCTGTGGAAAGCAGCTGATGGAAATAAATATAATGACCTTTGATAGCCAGCATATTATATGTGCTAAGGATCTCTAGAATAAGGGCATGGATCTAAAAAATAGGACTCCATAAATTAGGCCAAAAATAGGCCAACCTGGACAGTGTGGCCATGGGAGTTAATCTATTTAAACCAAAAGTAGGGTTTGCTTCTCTCTCCTGACTTTTCATTCTTTATTTTGTACCTTCTGGTTTCTTTAAATATGAGACTTCATGGCAACCCATAAAACTCATCAAGATTCAACTTCCCTCAGCACCCCATTAGCAGTGGAGAGTCCACACGCTGCGTTCAAGACGTTCCTTCCCAAGTCACTTCCCAAGGAAGTCCTGGTACCCTCTTGATACAGTAACACAATTTCTAACTGAATATCCATTTCCCTTCTCTGATTCCAGTTGGGACCAATACTTTGCACAGCCTTACTCACTACAGGAGTCTTGCCATAGCAAGAATCAGATTCCTCTTAATCAGAGGCAAAAATGTCTGTTAAACTCCAATAGCTTAAATATTGCTCAGAACAAACATTTCTAAAGCATGCATTTACAGAGAAAAAGCTGGGTCAGTACTGGACAAGAAAACTTCAAGGGTCTAACAGGTTGCAAACAGTGTTCGTTAAATTTTGTAGTTTTTTATCACTTCAAAAGATGAAGCAGGTTTTCAGTTTAAATCTTAACTTAACTTAGTTCTTCTAAAAAAGAAAAAAAAAAAAAAAGAAGTTAAAAAAATTGAGAGAATGGACTTCTTCCTTCCTTCTCATTAGTACAGAAAGACTGAAAATTTACCTTTACTCCTCAGAGTAAGCACATGTACAATACCTCTACTGAAAAGCCCCCTCTTGGAGTTTCATCACACCTTGTCACTTTCAAGTGACAATCCTCATAACCCATCCTGAAGACGAAATAAGACCATTCCAGGCAAAGCTTAAAGCGGAATTCAAAATGATAAATCTGTACTTCAGGTCTGACAATTTCACATTTCATGCAACACTGACCAATTTATCTAAAGAAGAGGTAAGGCTCAGAAATAACATTTCTCCCTTGCATGTAGCCTCACTGGGACACCTTTCTGTACTTTTTATAGATGTTCTATCTACATTCTCCATGCACCTCGCCTCTGGAGCTAGAAAGCTGCTTCAACAAAACTTGATGGACAAGACTGTTCAAGAAGTGCTACTTACACTTTAAAAAGTTCAGACAGTACAAAACCAGAAATAAGTCAGGAAAAGGGTATGTTTGCCTTCACAGAATATGGCGTGTCCCTCACATACACTGTTCTTCTGGTGATCCTTAGGAACACACTGGAAAAAGACAAAGACCCTCTGTACAAAGCATTCTCTCAATAAGAGAACAGATTACATTTTAGCCGTACACAGTGATGAAACAGAGGAAGATACAAGTATGGTTACTAAACCCAGCAAACTCGCACTTGTATATAAAAACATACCTTAAAATACAAAATTCTAGAAAAACTGAGCATTAATTTAGCTATGTAGAGCTATGTGTAATTTTTCACAGTTAGGATGGAGTTCTTGCATTTAAAAATGAAAGACCAAAAGTTACTGCAGAGGAGCATCCTGAGAACATTTTAGTGAACTAATGTCTAATAAAATATGCAGTCTTTTCTACAAAGTATTTGTTCATTTATGACTTCCCTCCCTTTTTATTAAAAAAACAACAGAAGTCTGGAAAAATAATTCATATGCACATAAAAACAAATAATTCATCAGTCCTTCAGAATAAGATGATCCTGTTTCTCCCCTCAGGCTTTTCGTTTTTAAAGAGAACATCTATTTTCATAACCATTTAACAGGCCAAAAATTTCACTGAGGTTGTATGCCACTAGAAAATGCCCCATCTACTATTCCCCAGTGCAAGCCAATCATCTGCAAACTAGCTAGTAGTAAAGGCAGTGACTCTGGTTACTGAGAGTCTTGTGACCAACTGCACCAACCAACATCGGAGTAAATGCGTACAGTGGTTTGTAGTCAGCCTCTTTATAAAAAATAAAGGGATCTAATATGTTTGGTGGGATTCCCAGTGAGCCACTGCAGTTTTATTCGTGCACTAAAACCACATTCAGAAGCACAGAACTAACTGCTTTGCCATGACAGAAAACTAGTAAGAGCACACTAATTGAATAAATTAATGAGTGAAGAGGCAAGACAATTTCCCAGTGTGTCATTTTCAATTCCTTTTATAATGGATGTACTCTGTGAAATTAATTTGAAGTGAAAATGTACCTGGATTGCTTCAGACCCTTCACAGATCCCTCCGTACGAATGCCTGAGCTCAGAATGACGCTCATTTTTAGAATTTCACCTTCTCTTCATTTACAAAATTAACAACCACTTTTTTTCCCCTCAAAGCATTGATCCAGCTTTCATGATAGTTAATTATACAACAAACATCTAAAAAAAAGCCACGGGACAGTGCTTTTGGTTATGCAATGTGCATTTTTAAATAAGAGCAAAATATTTGCCTTAAGTTACCACTCTGTGTAAGTTAACATTGTTAACTTACTGTGTGGTAACTTAACATTGTTTTGTACTTTTGGGGCTCAACAGATTGAAAGTAGAAATATTTTTAATCATGAAATTAAGATAAAAGTCACTTATAGCCCACAATAAGAACCAATGAGAATTTTACAGAAAGATGATGTACTTTAGCATCCTGAATAACAACCCTGAAGTGCTGTGAACCATGAAAAAAAAAAACATAAAGGGGTGTCAAACCTTTATTCAGATGAAGCTCTCAATGTATTTAAATTAGAATGTTTAAGCTCCATTTAGCAGTCTGTGCATTTTACAGCACAGATCACACTTCAGTTGCTAATGCTGTTGGGAGGATTCATTTCTGTTTATTATGGAGACACTTCATTTAGGTGACTTATATGTTAGCACATATCCACAGTTCATTCTAGGAGAGATTGCAGCTCATGCAGCAACTCCAATACAGCTTTTATAACCAGGTAAGCACTGGAACATCACAAGTCAATACTGTCCTATTTGTGGAGCTGCTATAACGTCGGAAAACAGTATCAGACAAAAAAAGAATGAGAACTGGAAACACCATCTACGTAGCATGTAACATTAAGTGATGAAGAGATGGAACATCTTGAAAAAAGCTGGCACAGCAAATACCTCTCCAAAATCCTACTGAGACTGACTTCATTGCACCAAGCTTAGTCCCAGCACAGACAAAACTCCAGTGGTCAGATCTGCTTCCACCACTTTCTGCTATAGCTGCTTTTGGCAGGTTGAATTGACAGTTCCTTTCTACACTAGTAATTAGGTTCAGAGAAGCAGTGCAATTTTGAAATAAATCAATCAATCAGTCCCACTTACTGAGCACTGGTTAAATTCAGTGCATGTGAACTGGATTCCCTGAGAAAACAAATAAACCCTATGTGCCACTAGAGTTACCCACTAGCTACGCTCCGGTTCCTAGTGGGGACAGAAGGATTGTCCCTTGGACAGCTCCAAACCACACACACAGCAGGGATGTCTGGATCTAGGGACCTGATTAAACATAATACAATGGAAAATCCCAACTCAAATATGCTGCTGATGCTAGGGTCTCAGCACCAACTGCTTTGACCTACTGATCCACTCCTTTTGAGCCACATTTTTTTCTACTGCACAGACTCTCCACAAGCCCTTGTGTGCCAGCCTAGAGCTCTTTCCAGCTCCTGTCTATGAAATATCCTGAATAGCAGGAAAAAAAAAAAAAGCACATAAAAGAATCTCTTTAGAGGACTTCATAAACAGAAATGTTCACTCCTTCAGAACTGATACAATTTCAGTTCTACAAAATCAAAGACTTACAAAAAATACCTTTTCACAAGTGTTAAGAATTTACTTATCCAGAAAACTGTATAAACATTGGACAGTAAGCATGTCAAGTTACATGATAAATACAGTACTCTGAATTTTCCAGTCTCTAAACCAGCCACCAGCAAAGGTGAAAACATGAAACTGTATGCACGTTTGTCGTTTAAAAATAATGCATTTCATTTTCTAGCAGGTCATTGTGGAACCAGATCTACATTAATTAGAATCATGTTTTTACATAGTTCACTGCACTAAGAAAAGCGAAGAGAAATCCAAGGTAATTTTCTGCAGTTTTACCTCAACTTTATCTTTAGATTAATTATGTAGTGTGCCAGAACACCTATCAGAAAAGGAAATATAAAGTGGCAAAAGAGCAAGAAACACACAGAAGTATTACAACATGGTTCTGACTTACCTATGTGATAAAGTCCTATCCAGTCAGTCGGGTCTACTTCTTCCTTAATATCCCAGAAAATGATGAGGTTCTGAGATTGTCCCAAGGTGTATTCGTACATACTGGCTGTCAAACTAGACCTGCTATCCGAGGTCACTAAATCAGTGTCACTGTTGGCACGCTGCAAGTTCATGTTCTCAGCCATGGCGCCCTGAGATGCCAAACTCTGCAGATTCTCTGGGCTCAGAGTATACCGTAGCTGTGGGTTGCGACGTCGCACAAAAAGCAGATGTTCTCGGGCTGAACTGGCCATCTCTTCTCCACTTTTGTCAATTTACGTGAAAAAGTTGTTATTCAGAGATCTATCATGAAGAAGAAAAAAGAGTGTGTTAAAGTGAGACAGCAGGTTACTCAAATATCAAATGGAGAGGCATTAGTGAAAAAACGTTCCTAGAGAAGCCTAAAATGGACTGAGTAAAATCTTTTACTTCACTGCTCTACCACTGCAGCCACCTTAGTGTTGTACATTTAAAACTTGCGACAAAATTCAGAGTTAACCACACACCATGAAATAACATTTCTAAGTCTGAAAGCAACAGAAAGCAAAGCATCTAAGACCATGTATCAAGCAAGAACTGCCACAGTAACAAAGGTGATTTAAGTCTGGCAGTAGCCTAAAGAGATTTCTTCCACAAAAGAAATCACAGCAGTATATGATGTAATTTCACTTAGATATGTTGGTTTCCAGCAATACTCTCTATGCACTGTATGTTCAGAATCAGTAAAGGATTGAAAATATTAATAAGGTTGGACATATTTCAGCAGAAGTAGGGTATCACAGATTTATGCTACTATAAAATAACTTTGTAAGGATTTTATTTTTTAAGATACAAAGCATAGCTTCTGAGATCCTCTATACCACACAAAAACACATCAGACCATTGACTGGGGTACTTTAGGCTATGGATATATAACCAATTAGCCCATGTCAGTTTATCTGTGCAGCCAGATTTTGTTTTCTTTTCCATACATCAGAAAACAAAGGCCTTATAATTCAACAGCTTTCCTCTAGCCCTGAGGAGGTACTAGAAGGTCTACACTAAAATGGTCATGCCAAAACCATCACACCATACCTTCAGAAGCAGAACTTTCATCTCATTATCCATAGCTACTAAAAGTACTGCCATTTGAAAATAAGCCCTCACATTGCTCACAACTTGAGATAAATTGACAGAGAGGAGAGACAAAAATAGCAAAATATTAAAACAGAAGGAACAGCTATAGGAGGCCAGAATCAGCGATGGGGAACTTCTTGTCATAGAAGGAATATGAAAATTTCCTTATCTAAGTTACATGACTTTGACCAAAGCTGTTTGCTTTTTTCAAAAGCCATGGTTCATATCAACACATTGTTTCTTTATTTTACAGAGGAAATAAAATGGTCCTCATCTGGCAGAACCATTTGCTTTCAGAAGAAAATGAATTTTCTGGTAATGTGTTCTGCAGTCAAAACTGTGAGAATTATCTTCTGTACTATATTCACATGGAATAGGAACCATGTATGTCCTCCAAAGCCAAACTAAACCAAAGCAGTTCTCCTGCCCAGTAGGAACTCCAGAGCTCACCTGGAAGAAATTGTGTCCTGAGCTCCTTACACTCTTCATACAATTTGAAAACAGCATTTCAACATTTCTGATTAGATTGCAACTTGACCAGTGACATCAACTGTTCCACTATAATATCTTCTGTGAGGGACGCATACTGCAGGAAAGATCTCCTTATTTTCATACATACAAATAACCACATTAAAAAAATGTGTGCATTTACATGTATAAAAAAAAAGCAAGTAAGAGATATCTGTATATTATTCTTGGGCTTTCTTCTTGGTGTCATAGCCTTCAGCTATCATACACAGATATATTTGTTCTTTTAAAAAAACCCAAGCATTGTCAGACAGTGCTGAGTGTCACCTGCTATAATGTTCCTTGTTTCCAGTAAGGAAGCTTGTAATGCAGAATTAGGTATAGCCCACAAGAAGCAAATGGATTGGTTGGCCACAGTCATAGTATTAGAATTGTAATGAGACCTACAGTACAATACTGCCATCAATCAAATGTCTGACAACTGGTTTATTAAGTAGAAACTTCTGCCTCTAGAGGTCAAAAGACATTAACTTATTAGAAAGAAAGAACAAATAGAGCACTTGGAGATCCCAAGATTGTGATTATGAAAAATGAGTTTTAAAATAAATAAATAAATAAAAGGCATTTTCATGTTTTGATTATTTTCTTTTCTTATTCATTCCTCTTTCCCTATGATGAATCTTCAAAAACTGTCTCTTCCCTTCACTTCTATTTCCTATAATTCGTCTCCATTTTTCTTTTTAATAACATTTCAGTGTATGCACTCCTCTAGTGTATCACAAATTCTGCTATTTTTCAGCTTTTCTTAAATCGGAGATGTTTTGAAATACTAAGTACTAACAAGGGGGAAAAATAAAGTTCACTTCATCCAATGGTATGCAACTCATCACACCCTGTACATGGTTCAGCATCAAATATTGCAGAAAAGGAAAGAAACAAAAACTCAGTTCAGTAATTCTACATATACAGAAGTGTCACAGAGATTACCATATTTACTTCACAAAGTACACGTCAGAGTCTTTCCTGACATGAGCAAAGTTTTGGCTGCATACACAAAACATTTTATTTTTGGTGCTGGACGTCAGCAGGGTTCACTAACTCCTCCTCTGTCATGTTCCCGCGCACTCTGCCTCTGAGATCAGTGTCAGTGACGAAAAGGAAACTCTGGTATAGAGGGCCTTCTTAAATGAGAGCCAGTGAAGTTGGTATCTTGTTTCTCTATATGGGAATATTATTCGCTAGATCTGAAAATCCTGGATGACTTCGAGAACAGAAGGGTGAATAAGAAACAGCCACCAACTTCCCTACAAACCAGTGAAACACGCAAGGATCAGCCACTCACTGAGATCCCCACCCACTCTTTTTTTTTTTTTGTCCCCCTTCTTTTTTACTTTGTGATCTGGGTAACAGCACACGCTAGCAGTGAAGTCTTAAATGTCACAGGGAAAGGGTTGTACCGCCCAGTGAGGAAAAGCCCCGATGTGTGCCCGAGCCTGCCCAGCACAGCAAGCACGTACCCACCCCACCACCGCCGCCGCCCTCCGCACCAGGAGGTCGGGTGAGATTAATTAACAGACTGACACCACTCTATTAAGTTAATTTTCTTCTATCCCACAACTAAAGATTTATGCAATTTTGAACTATTGTATACAGTGGTTTTACAGCCATACAATCACTGCAAAGTAAGTGTCATGCAGGAGGACTACAAGTTAAAGACAAAGTTTTAATAGGAGGGATGAAAAAAATTACCTTCAGCTGCAGAGCAGTACACCATACCCAGGGCAGCACTGACATTTGTTGGAACATATTGAAAATTTTTATGAGGCAGATAGACAAACTCATCCATGTTTAAGGACACATGAGAACTAACTTGTACTAGCTGGGACTATCCCAGAGTTTGAGAGATGAGAATAGCCCAAGAAAAATGTTAACTCCTTTGCAACAGCCCATATTCTTAAGTCCTAATTGATATCACTCTGGTGAATCACAAACATCATTACAGTTTCTGAAAGTAAAGTAAACCACAAATCTAAATGCTGGGTAACTTCCCTGAACCTACTCATAAATCCAAGTATCTTAAAGTCACGATTTATACAATGATCCCGACAAATCACATAACTTAAAGCAACCGAAACCAATTTGCAATGAACAAGTTAAACTCACATGTAGATGAGTTCCTATTATAGAAAAAATACCTCCAAAAATTCAGGACTCATAAGCTTTTAGAATATTTTCTAAATTCAGTGAAATAGCTTGTAAAAGGGCCCTACCACCAGACAGTGCCTATGTAGCATCTCACAGTAAGATGGGAGGTGAATTAAAATTTCTAAAGAAAGAAATGTAACACTCGTATTGTAAAAGGGGAAAAAGTGATTGCCATAAAACCCAAACCATAAGGAGTGATGGAAGGGAGAAAAGAGCCACTACTTGAATTATTTGCAGTCTGAAAATTCAGTCTGAAGATGGGATGAAAACCTTACACGGTGCCTTCCTGCCTACAGAAAGAATTGCTTATCTGACATTTGGTTAGCAATTCCTGATGTCTGTAATTAATAACATAACCAACAGTACACTAACACATACAGCCTACCACAGACTGAACACACGAATTACCCTCCCACCTTCAATTCCTGCTAAGTGCAACTGAAACAGTATTTGCATCCAGACTATACTGTAAAGGCAACATCCACCATTAGCTGTGTGCACCTGCCCTGCCCCGCAGGTTTGGCTAATCAGGCTGAATGTGGTCAGAGCAGCAATTTCACTAAATATCAGAACAAACTGGGAAAGAATATTGATTCATGAAGGCAAGCTGAAATGTGGAAACCAAATCAAAAGCGTAGGGAAAATACAGGCATTTGAGAAATCAGCAGATACTAACTTTAGCAAAGTATTTTAGCTGAAAAGTGAAACCTGTACCAAAGCTGCTTATCCATACCCCAGTGTTTTCTTCTATACTTGGCAAGTAGCTTAGAGAGAAATAGGACTGATTTCCTCTTAAAGTGGCACAGATTCAAGATTATTTCTATCTAAATATACTCCTCAATTACTAATCATATAGGGATCAGGATTGGGAAAAAGTTCCACTTAATATACAAAATATAGATAGGAAAAATCCCCTTGCCCAACCTTCTTCACTATAGGAGACTGAAAAGAAACATCAAACTATTTCTGACATGCAGTCAAACATTCAGTAGTTTAAAAAATAGATGAATGAAAGTGCAGGAGTTCCAGCACAGGAATAAGCAAAAAAATCCAAACCAAAATCCAATCCAAAATGCAAAACAAACCAGAGTTCACATGCTGCCCTGTTTATCTTACTCGTAACAGTGATTCATTTCTTGTTTATGTAGTGATCTTTTATGTGCCTTACAGGTCTTGCTAACAGCCTCTTCCCACAGCGCTTACTGGAAACGGGACTCTCTAGGGCTGGCCCTGGGGGCACGGCCCGTCAGCCCCTGGACAAGATTTGTGCTCCAAGCAGGCAGCGGAGGGTGCTGCTGGGGAAGCGATGATCCCCACATTTCGCCAGGGGACTGGCTTCACGTCACCGCACCGTCACGTCACCCACGAGAGGAGCGAGGCGAGGAGGCTGGCAGCGCGGCACCCCCGGCCAGGGCGCGGCGGGGAGAGCCCTCGGGGAGCGCCCGGCACCCGCGTGTCTGTCGCTGTATGTCAGATGGGCAGGAAGAACCAGACAGCCCAACTGGCCCCCAAAT